CGATGGAATTTCATGCTGCCGCTGCTGCTGCCGCTGCTGCTGCTGCTGCTGCTGCTGCTGCTGCTGCCCCTCTGTCTCTGCTGCATGCTCAGCATCAGATCTACCTGAGTCCGGGTTGCTGCGTCTGCCGCTGCTGCTGCCGCTGCTGGTGCCGCTGCTGCTGCCGCTGCTGCTGCCGCTGCTGCTTCCGCTGCTGCTGCTTTCATCGCCTGCGGGCAGACAGAGGGGAAGAGCAGCAGCAGCAGCAGCAGCAGCAGCAGCAGGAGATTCTCTCGCGGCCAGCAGGCTCTGCAGCGCGGATGACTGCGAGNAGCAGCAGCAGCAGCAGCAGCAGGAGATTCTCTCGCGGCCAGCAGGCTCTGCAGCGCGGATGACTGCGAGTTCAGCAGCAAATCCGAAGCAGGAGAATGCATGAGGCTGCCCCTCAGGCTGCTGCTGCTGCTGCTGCTGCTGCTGCTTCTGTTGATGCTGCTGCTGTTGCGCCGACTCAGAGAGCCGTCGCCGCCATCGTTGCGAGGTGTAGTGACACCCGAGAGGACCTCCAGGCAGTCGTCCCCCTCTAGAGGCCTCCTAGGAGCCGATTCGCTCATTGCTTGATGCAGCAGCAGCTGCTGCTGCTGCTGTTGCTGTTGCTGTTGCTGCTGCTGCTGTTGCTGCTGCTGTTGCTTCTGCTGCACCGATGCTGTTCGTGCAGCGCATGCCTCCCCGCTTAAACAAGTGGAGGCTTCGAACCCAAGCAGGGCCTATCTGAGGCTGTTTTATAGATTCTTCCGTGTGAACCTTCTGCTGGTTGACGCAGCAGCAGTTGCAGCAGCAGCAGCAGCAGCGGCAGCAGCAGCAGCGGCGGCGGTAACGGTCCAGGGCCTAAGGAAGCCAGCGGCTGCTGATGCTGCTGCTGCTGAAAATGTGAATAAAAGTTCAATTTCAAAGCAATTTAGAGGGGAAGGATTCGGGAAAAGGCGGAGAAGGCGGATCGCTGATTGACATGAGCTGAGGTATGGAGAGAAGAAAGCATGAATGAGCCCTTCCTTCTTTTATTTTATTTTCCTTTATTTTATTCATTCACCCCTAATTATAAAATATTCAAGAGTTTAATAAAAGGAAAATAATCTTTTTAGCTCGTGAAATGATATTTTGGTGCTGTTTTCCTTCTCTGCGCTGAGAGGAGCCGCTGGCATGGCATGCATTGTATGAAGTTCAATATATCATTGACGATGATGTTCATGTATTGTTCTTGTGTATAATATAATATATTATCCTTATGTTTGTGTTTTTATAGTTGATATAATTT